GGTACAAACATATCTGCTCAAAATGAAAAACAACACAACAACACACTCACAAAACGGCAAAACAACAAAACTCAAAAATCCCCCAGCGAAACTTAACCAAAATTCCCATGCCCATAACACAACCCACAAGGTACAAACATATCTACTCAAAATGAAAAACAACACAACAACACACTCACAAAACGGCAAAACAACTGAGCATGCGCATTGGCACCCAGCCGCAAGTTCCCTGGCGCGCGCACATGCCCTTCCGGCCAACGTTCCCTCTGCGGAAACCATGCCCACTCCAAGCCCCACCGCGCCGCTTCCCGCACACACACACACCCCTGCCGCACATACACACACAACCCCACACTCCATCACTCCCCCCGCCGCCGCACACACACACGCAACCCCACTCCCCCCGCCGCCGCACACACACACGCAACCCCACTCCCCCCCCGCCGCCGCACACACACACGCAACCCCACGCTCCATCACTCCCCGCCGCCGCACACACACACGCAACCCCACGCTCCATCACTCCCCCCGCCGCCGCACACACATACACAACCCCACGCTCCATCACTCCCCCACCCCAATCTTACCTCCTTTTACTTCACGCCACCTCCAAACCCCACCCCGCCCCTTCCCACCCTGTCAAAATCTAGGAAAGACAGGAAGGAAGGAAAGAAGGAAGAAAGAGAAAGGGAGGTAAAGAAAAAGGGGGAAGGAAGGAAAGTTAGAGAAAGAAGGAAGAAGAAAAGGAAAGAAAAGGAAAGATGGAAGGAAAGAAAGGAGAGACAGCAGAAAAGAAAGAAAAAAGGGGAAGGAAGGAAAGAGATAGAGAAAGAAGAGGAGAAGGAAAGATGGGAGGGAAGGAAGGAGGGAAAGAAGGAGAGAAAGAGGGAAGATTGGCCACAGCAACACGTGGCGGGTAAAGGTTGTTATTTCTATTATTATTATTATTATTATTATTATTATTATTATTATTATTATTATGCTATTGTTCCTATGAGACCCTGGAGGAATGGGAGAGGTGTCAGGTCCCAGAGGTAATGCATTGCATTATTGTTATTGTTATGATGGTGGTAAAATAAAAGGAAATAAAAAGTGAAAGAAGGAAGCAAACAGGGAGGGAAGAAAGGCAAAGGAAGAAAGGGGGAGGGAATGAAGGAAAGAGAGAAGGATGAAACCAAGTAGTGAAAGAAAGAAAGAGGTAGAGAAGGAAGAAAGGAGAGAAAGGGGGAGGAAAAGGGGGAAGGAATAGGTAGGTACCTCTCTTTCATAATAGTCCAGATATCTACCTCAACTTTGATAAGTTTTACTATAGGCCACAGCAACGCGTGGCAGGGCACAGCTAGTCTATATATATAAAATGCTCTGTGCATAATGAGTTCCTTAAAAACAAAAGAACCAATGAACGAAATCACACCAAATTTGGCAACAAAATGTCTCACAACACAAGGAGTGACCATCACTCAAAAAATTATGATTTTGTCATTTGGGAGTTGTAGTTGCTGGGATTTATAGTTCACCTATAATCAAAGAGCATTCTGAACTCCACCAACGATGGAATTGAACCAAACTTGGCACACAGGCCTCCCATGACTAACAGAAAATACTAGCAGCGTTTGGTGGACATTGACCTTGAGTTTGGGAGTTGTAGTTCACCTACATCCAGAGAGCACTGTAGATTCAAACAATGATGGATCTGGACCAAACTTGGCACAAATACTCAGTATGCCCAAATGTGAAGACTGGTGGAGTTTGGGGAAAATAACCTTGACACTTGGGAGTTGTAGTTGCTGGGAGTTATAGTTCACCTACAATCAAAGAGCATTCTGAACTCCAGCAACGATGGAATTGAGCCAGTCTTGGCACACAGAACTCCCATGACCAACAGAAAATACTGGGTTTGGTGTACTTTGGTTTTAGAGTTGTAATTAACCTACATCTAGAGATCACTGTGGACACAAACAATGATGGATCTGGGCCAAATTCTACACAAATACTCAATATGCCCAAATGTGGACACTGGTGGAGTTTGGGGAAAATAGAATCTTGCTATTTGGGAGTTGTCGTTGCTGGGATTTATAGTTCACCTACAATCACAGAGCATTCTGAATCCCACCAACAATAGAATTGGGCCAAACCTCCCACACAGGACCCCCATGTGGGCCACAGCAACGCGTGGCAGGGGACGGCTAGTAGTAGTAATAATAATAATAATAATAATAATAATAATAATAATAATACTTTATTTATATACCACTCAATCTCCCCGAGGGGACTCAGAGCGGTTCCCAGGTAACATCACAAAACATACAAAGTAAAAACAACATAACCATAAGATTAACAAAACAAAATATAAGCATAAAAATTGTCGCCATAACACACATATATTAAAACTAATCCTCAGAGCTTGAGATGCTCATCTATTCCTAAGATGATAAGCACGTGTCTGTGTTTTAGATGGATTAGAAATCAGCTGGTTTTCCCTTTAATAGGCAGTAAGAGCACCTAAAGCTTCAGCGAGCTTCTGTTCGACCATTTCAAAGCTCCCTGCTTGAGTGGTGATGGCACGATCATCAGCATAGATGAAACTTTCTGTGTCTTCTAGCAGTAGTTGGTCATTTGTGTAAATGTTAAACATTGATGGAGCAAGCACGCTCCCTGGAGGCAGGCCATTTTTCTGTTTTCACTATCTGTTTCTCTGGCCCTGGAACTCAACAAAAAAGCTCCTGTTTGGTCGCAGATTTTCTATGAAGAGGGTGAGGTGGTAGTCCTTTGTGATATTATGCATTTTCCTCAGGAGAAGGTGATGATTTTCAGTATCATAAGTTATTGACAGGCCTGTGAAGACAGCTCCTGTAATCTGCTGCCTTTCAAATCTATCTTCTATATGTTGAGTCGGGTTTAGCAGCATGCAAACAAACTTTATATAGCTTTTTGGAAGGGACTTAAGATGCCATGGAGGGAGTGTTCTGTTTTGATGTGTAACACTGTACTGTTTGGATGTACAACACTATACACTCCTATCCACATTAGGAGACATTGTTTGGTTAGTCAATGGCAGAGCCTTTGTTGGTCAGAAAAAAGAGAGTTTGAGAAGCTAGACCAGTTTTGTGAATCCTCTGAGGTTCTGCTAATGAACAACTGTAATATTTTTAGAACAACTAATAAAAGTGATACACTTACATTTATATGTTGGGTTGTATAACTTTTGTTAGCATTGATGTATTGTGGTTGTATTTGGGCATTGAATGTTTGCCTTTTATGTTTGGAATACGCCCTGAGTCCCTTTGGGGAGATTTATTATTATTATTATTATTATTATTATTATTATTATTATTATTATTGACACAAAAGCACAGTATGTCACAGCAAACAAGATTTCTGTGCTGGATTTCGTATCACAGAATGATGCGCGTAGATGTATTTTCGAATGATGCACGCAGATATATTTTCTAATGATGCGCACTGATGTATTTTCGAATGATGCACGCAGATGTATTTTCAAATGATGCGTGCTCATATATTTTCGAATGATGCGCGCAGATGTATTTTCAAATGATGCGCGTAGATGTATTTTCGAATGATGCACGCAGATGTATTTTCGAATGATGCGTGCAGATGTATTTTCGAATGATGCACGCAGATGTATTTTCGAAAGATGTGCGCAGATGTATTTTCAAATGATGCACGCAGATGTATTTTCAAATGATGCGCGCTGATATATTTTTGAATAATGCGTGCAGATGTATTTTCGAATGATGCACGCAGATGTATTTTCGAAAGATGTGTGCAGATGTATTTTCAAATGATGCACGCAGATGTATTTTCAAATGATGCGCGCTGATATATTTTCGAATAATGCGTGCAGATGTATTTTCGAATGATGCGCACAGATGTATTTTCGAATGATGCGCGCAGTGTACTGGTACGGCTGTACCAGGAGCTCCAACTTTATTTGCTTTGTATTAAATGTTTGTTTGCTGTCCAAGGTTTCAGGGACTCTGCAGAAAGGTGGCTTCCTTTGGTTGCAGTCATAGGGCAAGTCACTTGTCCATCATCATTAAGTTTTGGTTCCGCCCCTTGCTCAGGGCAATTGGGAAGGGAAGGAAGCCATTTTTAGTTTGTCTCAGAAAAGAAAGCTAATGTACAGGATGTGTTCAAGCTTTCCCTGTACAAAAGCTTCAACCCTTAAGACTTTCTGGGGGGAAACAGTCTTAAGAGCATCCAAGACCTTCCGGGGGAGAGCAATCTTAAGCATCTCCAAAGATTTCCAGGGAAACAGCCCTAAAGACCAAAGAACTCCAGCTGGAGAACATCTAAGCCTTTACTGGTAGGTCCACTCGGCGTTCGAGAAGCAGTTCGACCCGGTAGCGGAGCCCACATCAGTAAGCATTAGATTACAGTCAGCCTGGGAGAAGTTAAAACGGGGACTTTCCTTTAAAGTAAAGGTAAAGTAAAGTTATTGAAGATAGTTGCCTGTCCTTCATGGGCAAGTTTAGGAAGCTACCAGTTGCATAAAAGCCTGGAATCATTTGTTTAACTTTCTGAAAACGAGAGAAGTTTCTGTTTGGTTGTTCCTTAATAAAAGACTTTATTATACTTCACAAGCCATCTAAAGACTATTTGTGGTGGAAAACCTCTGAGAACTTCTCTTTGGGCTCCCTGGCTTCCCACTGGGCAAAGGTTGCACGTCCTGTTCTAAAGGAAATTCTTTACAGGCCCAGCGTACGACAGAACACGCAGATGTATTTTCAAATGATGCGCGCAGATGTTCCTTTGAATGATGTGTTCAGATATATTTTCGAACAATGCGCGCAGATGTATTTTCGACTGATGTGCGCAGATTTTTTTTGAATGATGTAATGTTGCTATAGTTATGAATCGTCATGTAAATATCTGATATGCAGTATATATTTTCATTCACTGGACCAAATTGGGCACAATACCCGATATGTCTACTATTGGAAGTTTCCATAACGGTTTACTGTCTCTCCATTTTTAAGGTGGCCCCAGAAGAATTCAAAACCAGCATCAGTCGGGTGAATGCGTGTTTGAGGAAAAACCTGCCCATCAACGTAAAGTGGCTTCTCTGTGGCTGTTTGTGCTGCTGTTGCACTTTAGGGTGCAGCCTCTGGCCGGCCGTCTGTCTCACCAAAAGAGTAAGTGCACAGAATGGAAGGCTGAGCCTCCAGTTTCTGATCCGAAATGCTTTGGAGAAGATGCGGCAGGGTTTTTAAGACGGTTCAGCATCGACTTCCTAATGTGCCTCCCCTAGACTGTCCCTATGTCTAACCCAGGAAAGGCTGTGTGAGGATGTATTTCTGATTTCTGAACACACAATGTGATTATTGGAGCAACCTATCAACTTCTACAAGTGAGGTGTTTACAGTTGCTTAAAAAGATGGGAGAAGTGTGTGTACTGAGGTGGCACCCATGGAGAGAAGGGTTCAGAACTGGGCCAAGTTAAGTTTCAGAAAGTGGATGAGGAAACAAGGGATCAATTGAATAAAGAGATATCAGAGGAGGAAATTGAGAAGGCAATTCAAAAGATGGACCCAGACAAAGCTCCGGGTACAGATGGATATACAGCTGGATTTTATAGAACATTTAAACAAGAATTGATAACTTTATTAAAAAAGGTATTAAATGAAGTGATGACTGAACAGAAAATTCCAGAAACTTGGACGAAGGCAGAAATAGTACTGATTCATAAAGAAGGAACCTGTGAGACGGAGATTAAAAATTACAGACCAATTTCTTTATTAAATACGGACTATAAGATTTTGGCGAACATATTGGCAGAGAGAGTAAAACATTTCTTAAGAAACTGGATTGAAGAAGACCAAACAGGATTTCTACCAAATAGATTTATGAAGGATAACATAAGGCTAGTATTGGATCTAATAGAATATTATGAACAGAATCATCAAAAAGAATTTGCCATACTAGCCTTGGACGCAGAGAAGGCTTTTGGTAACCTAAATTGGGATTTCTTTAAGATATTAATAGCTTCCACTATTTCCAATGGTGGGAAACAGAACCCATAGCACATGCCCTCGCCTCTTCAAGACCCCCCCTCACTTATCTCAATAAGGATGGTCAATTAGAAATCCAAGACACCCCAGAACAGTAGATTGGATGATATAATAATAATAATAATAATAATAATAATAATAATTTTATTTTTATACCCCGCCAACCATCTCCCCAAGGGGACTCGGGGTGGCTTACAAAGGACAAGCCCAAAAATTACAATACATTCTGAAGGGAATGCAAGAGAAGTGCAACAATCAAGTAGGCAGGGCTGGAAATATTGTCATCAAAAGTATTGAGGTACATAATAAGAGGGCCGATGTAAAGTGCTGAACTTAAAGTAGGGACAGCAAAATTACTGATGGACTACTTAATCAAAAGCACACTGGAACATCCAGGTTTTTAGTTGTCTCCGGAAAGAGGACAAAGTGGGAGCCTGTCTGATCTCCCTAGGGAGGGAGTTCCAGAGCTAGGGTGCCACCACCGAGAAGGCCCTCTCCCTCGTCCCCATCAACCATGTTTGAGACAGGGTGTGGATGGGGAGAGAGCAGTGCCTCCCCGGATGATCTCTAGGTATGCACAGATTCATAGGGGAAGATGTGATCGCGGAGATAGCAGGTCCCAATAGTTGCTGTGTGTTGTATCTCAGGCTAAGATTCACCTTGCTATCTCTGACAAACCAGCCACAATTGTGAGGTAGAAAGTTTATTGTGAGGTTTTCAAACAAAGCAGTTCATCAGCAGTGAAAAGATCAGTTGTACAAGGTAAAAATCCAATACAATCCCTTTGAGTCAAAGCAGGAGACTTGAAGCATAGAAGCAGAGTAAAAGTCCAGGAAATAGCATGAGGTAACGTGAAGCAGGCTTTCCCCAAGCCCCAGAGCCGAAGGCAAGCAAGCCATTTAGCAACGTTGGAACTGACACAGAACCAGCTCCAAGGCAGTTTACTTATAGGTAAAACATCAAAACATTGAACATCAAACAGGGAGCTAACAAGCAGTTTTCCCACCAACGGATGAGCTCAACACTTGGCCGCAATTCGTAAACTCCGTCTCAACACCTGCTGGGCAGCCTGACCTTGATCCCCACCAACTGCCTTATCAGCTACATTCCGTTCCTGTGAGAACAGCGGCTTGTCTCTAGCTACAGATTGTGACTGAGAAAACTGAAAGCCCACACCTGCATCTGTACTCTCATTTCCATCATGCTCATCTGCACTCTCAGTCCCATCATGCTGTTGCTGTTGAACCACAACACTGTGGTTATGTGGTTGCCATTAATGGCAATCACAGGGTCCCCAGAGATGCATCCCGCTGCTCCCTGCTCCGCTGGCCAGAAGTGAGGTCAAAGATCCCCTAACGGCCTAACTGGAAGTCCCGGAACTAGATGCTCTGTGCCGGAGTTCTATTGTTTGACCTACAGACCTCCGGCAGAGTGTCTATACTACACTACAGCAAATGTTTCACCCTTGGCTCCTGCACCTGGCCGTGTAGGAGTTGAGGATGAAATGTCTTTGGCATGTGGCCCCATACTTCTCTGTATGCGGCCACATGTGGCCGTGTGTCATCAAAAAGGGTGAAGTGTGTGAATGCTGACATGCGTGTCATAGGTTCACCATCACGGCCTTAGCTGGCTGGCTGAAGCCTAAGGGAGTAGGCCTGGCGAAGCCACCGTGTCCATTTTAGAAAAGGGAGCCGGGTGGAAGCCATTTTAGTTAGGTTTTTTCTTGAAGGGGCATGTTCAAGTCTTAGAGGGAAAATAAGGAGGCTAGGATTGACTAGACAGATGGGGGCAGAGCCTAAGTGGTCTGGAGGAAAAAAGTGTCCTTTTAGAACAGAGGCTTGAAGTCCCAGTTAGTTAGGAGTTGTTAAAGAGCAGTTGAAGAGTTGGTGTTAGTCAGAGCGAGTTTGGGTTTAGAGAAGAAGATTTTGTGAGGTATTCAGAGTAGCTATTAGTAGATAGCTAGAATACTGTTGTGGAGCAGTGCCCAGTTAGTCAATTGTTCAATTCCTAGGAAAGTCTAGTTCAGGGTATTTTTGACTAGATTCCTAAGGGGCAGTTTTGGGAGTTACTTTCAGAGATTAATTTCCTGAAGTAATTTTCTGTGGTGGAACTTTGAAGACTTGTAACCCAGAAGAGTTTAAGATTTTTACTCTTAACGCAACCACAAGATTTTCATGAAACCATTAAGCATTTGTACCTGAATTATTTCAAGCTTGTTCTATAAACATTCTTATTCTTTTATTAACTTATACCAGCCTCAGTGTGTATACCTTTGTGGTCAAAGTAATCCTAAAGACAGCTTCACAGCAGCCACTAAGAAACTATAGTGGCATAGTGTGTGATTCAGAACAAACTCACAATATTACCTCAGCCTGATTATTATTGGAATGGTGGCAGCGGAATTCAATTGAAGAATCATTTTAAGTCTCTCAGTTCTAGTGTTTCCCAGTTTCTACCTTTTAAAATGCTAATTGTCTCTCCCCTTCTCTGCTGTAATCTCCCCTGATATTGGTATAATAAGTGGGATATGTTTCAACAATTAAAATAAAGAGAAATTTAACTATACAACTGTTTCAACAACCATACTCCCTCTTCCTTTGGACGGCTTCATATTTTTGGTGAGCCTGCGTTTATATTTTAGGACAGGGGTCCTCAAACTTTTTTAAACAGGGGCCAGTTCACCGTTCCTCAGACCGTTGTTTTTTTGTTTTTTAAAAAAACTATAGTTTTAGTTTTTTTGTTTTTTAAAAACACTATAGTTTTTTTGTTTTTTAAAAAAACCAATAAAAAAATTCCTCTGCACATTGCACATATCTTATTTTGCTGTGTGGAAGGGTTCTTTCTAGCCCTCTTTAGGCAGTAATTCCAGGAGCAGAGAATGGGAAATCTTCCTATTTCTAGTCTGAACAAAATCTGGCTACCAGTATTAAAAAAACTCTAAAATTATAACTGTAAATAAAGAACAACACTCAAACACAGGGGAACTCCTCTCAACAAAGGATTCTCCCTAAAAACTGTCAGGCTATGAAATGGTAATCAAGGTGGCCAATTGAAACATTCATACCTACCTCCAACAGATAAGAGTTCTTTCTCCCACCCTGGATTTTCCACAATTTTTCTAGTTAAAGGTTTTCCTCTGACATGAAGTCCAGTCGTGTCTGACTCTGGGGTGTGGTGCTCATCTGCATTTCTAAGTCGAAGAGCCGGCGTTGTCCGTAGACACCTCCAAGGTCATGTGGCCGGCATGACTGCATGGAGCGCCGGGCCAGCCTCCCTTGGCTGGCTCACGCTGCCCATCGGGCCCAATGGACAGCGTGAGCCTGCCAAGGGAGGAGCAGCCCCGCGCGGCCTACTCTCGCATAAAGCACCTCGCGAGGTGCTTTACGTGAGAGTAGGCCGCGCGGAGCAGCTGTCCTTGGCTGGCTCACGCTGCCCATCAGGCCTGATGGATAGCGTGAGCCAGCCAAAGGAGGGGCACTGTGTGTGGGGGGGGGGGGCACTTCTCCTCCGCGAGCTGGATAAGTGCCCTTGGCGGGCCAGAAGTGGCTCGTGGGCCATAGTTTGAGGACCCCGGTTTTAGGAGGTGCCTGTTGTTATATGGAGCCAGAAACCACTGATTTTACAGTACTTTGGGGGCCAGTTTGTTATCTCTTTGCTTCTTGGATGTACTTTGATTGCCTTTATCCCAATCTGGCTGTTTCTGAATCCGTATCCTGACATGGTTCTGGTTTTTTATTTCTTAGACGAGGAGATCGATTCAGAAGTTACTAGAGTGGGAAAACAACAGATTATATCACAAGGTAAGGAGCTTATGGCTCTCAGCTGTGGTTCTCTTCTATCAATTTGAGTGGCAACGTTCACCTTGAACAGAAATATATATTTCTTACTGGGGAGGCAAATGGGTTAATATATGATATAACCTCATTCCTGTATTGCTTGTATTATGTTCATCTAACGATATTGGCAAACATTATCTTACTTTTTGTTTTAAGCTTGGCTTGCACTGGAAGTTGAGTAGAAGGAAATGTGAAAGCAGCAATATGATGGAATATGTAAGTGCTTTTCTTTTCTTTTCTGCACTTCTGTGTCACTCTGCCTATGTATGTTTGAGCTATAATTCTTAAACTAGCCCCTAGTCTTTTGGGCTGGATATACCTTCATTTAGTTCAGTGTTTCTCAACTTGAGGTGTCGCGATGGGGGTGTCAGAGGGGTCAGCAAAGACTATAAAAAAGCACCGTATTTTCTGTCGGTCGTGGGGGTGCTGTGTGGGAAGTTTGGCCCAATTCTATTGTTGGTGGATTTCAGAATACTGTATATACTCGAGTATAAGCCTAGTTTTTCAGCTCCTTTTTTAGGCTGAAAAAGCTCCCCTCGGCTTATACTCGAGTCAAGGTTATTTATTATTTTATTCTGTTACTAGCCGTCCCCTGCCACGCGTTGCTGTGGCCCCAGTGTGGGAGGTTTGGCCCAATTCTATCATTGGTGGTGTTCAGAATGCTCTGTGATTGTAGGTGAACTATAAATCCCAGCAACTACAACTCCCAAATGTCAAGATTCTATTTTCCCCAAACTCCACCAGTGTTCACATTTGGGCATATTGAGTATTCTTGTAGAGTTTGGTCCAGATCCATCATTGTTTGAGTCCACAGTGATCTTTGGATGTAGGTGAACTACAACTCCAAAACCAAAGGACACTGCCCACCAAACCCTTCCAGTATTTTCTGTTGGTCATGGGAGTTCTGTGTGCCATGTTTGGTTCAATTCCATCATTGATGGGGTTCAGAATGTTCTTTGATTGTAGGTGAACTATAAATCCCAGCAACTACAACTCCCACATGGCAAAATCAAAAAAATTTGAGTGAAGGACATACATTGGGTTGTTAAGTGTACCGTGTCCAAATTTGGTGTCAATTCCTGCAGTGGTTTTTGAGTTCTGCCAATATCGCAAACGAACATTACATTTTTATTTATATAGATGATGATTGTTTTATTGCTCATGATTTATGTCTAATTGTAGTGTATAATTGTAATTGTTTGTACTGGCATTGAATTTTTGCCATGGCTTGCGTGTAAACCGCTTTGAGTCCCCCTCGGGGTGAGAAAAGCGGTATACAAATACTGTAAATAAACAGCAGTTTGAAAACATGCAAATGTGAGTAGATCAATAGGTACCACAACAGGTAACAGCGCTCCATGCAGTCATGACCTTGGAGGTGTCTACAGACAACGCCAGCTCTTCGGCTTAGAAATGGAGATGAGCACCACAGTCCCAGAGTCGGACACAGCTAGGCTTAATGTCAGGGGAAAACCTTTACCTTTACCTTCCACAAGTGGAGAGAACTGTCCAATGAGAAAAGGAGGCTTTGAGCCCAAAACGCAGTCTGCCCTGAGCTTCTGCTGCCATCTAGCGGACAGTCAACACTTGGAAACAGTCCGGAATTTGTATCTCCAGGTTCCCTGTCAACTTAAGGGGACCCTATCAGGATTCTAGGGCTTTCCCTTGCCAGAGATAATGTGGTTTGCCATTGCATTCCTCTAAGAATACTCCGCATCACCTGGCATTCCTTGAAGGTCTCCTGTCTGTCTATTATACGGCTATATATTATGCGGCTCCGGCCCAGCGTACCTGTCCGAACGTATCTCCTTCTACGTCCCTCCTCAGAGTTTAAGATCTTCTGGGGAGGCCCTGCTCTTGGCCCCACCTTTATTACAAGTGAGATTGGTGGGGACGAGGGACAGGGCCTTTTCAGTGGTGGCCCCTCGCCTGTGGAATGCACTCCCCGGGGAAATTAGGTCATCAACATCCCTCCTCTCTTTCAGAAGGAAGTTAAAACCTGGATATGGGACCAGGCCTTTGCGTAAGCTGGCAGTTGGATAAAAGAGAATGACGACCAGAGTAGGAAAGGACAATGACAATGTTGGATGGATTATGGATTTATGAACTGGCGAACGTTGACCTCAAGATGATTTTATTGCTGCTATTGTATTAATTTGATTGTTTTAACTAGTTATAACTGTCATCGTTATATTGTATTTTATATATTGTATTTTGTGAACTGTTGGGCATCGAATTGTGCCTTTTGTAAGCCGCCCTGAGTCAGTCCCGCCTAAGGGATTGAGAAGGGCGGGGTAGAAGCACTCCAAATGAAATAAAATAAAAAAAATAACAATATTAACTAGGTTTGATTCAGCTTAACTTCCAATATCAGGTAGATTTATTTTATTGATTTATTTGCCATGTTCGTTTGTGGGATTAAGAGAACTCAAAACCCAGTGGGCCAATTGACAACAAATTTGGACAGCATACACCTAACTACCCAATGTATGTCCTTCACTCAAAAAAATTGATTTTGTCATTTGGGAGTTGTAGTTACTGGGATTGATAGTTCATCCACAATCAAAGAGCATTCTGAACTCCACCAATGATGGAACTGAACCAAATGTGGCATACAGGACTCCCATGACCAAAAGAAAACACTAGAAGGGTATTTTCTGTTGGTCATGGTAGTTCTCTGTGCCAGGTTTGGTTGAATTCCATCGTTGTTGGAGTTCAGAATGCTCTTTGATTGTAGATGAACTATAAATCCCAGTAACTACAACTCCCAAATATCAAGGTCTATCCCCCCCCCCCCCCCAAACTCCATCTGCTCTCTGGATGTAGCTGAACGACAACTCCAAAACTCAAGGTCAATGCCCACCAAACCCTTCTAGTGTTTCTTGGTGGTCATGGGAGTTCTGTGTGCCAAGTTTGGTTTACTTCCATCATTGGTGGAATTCAGGATTCTCTTTGATTGTACGCGAACTATAAATCCCAACAACTACAACTCCCAAATGACAAAATCAATAATTTTTTTGAGTGATGATCACTCCTTGGGTTAATAGGTGTCTTGCTGCCAAATTTGATGTCAAATCCTCCAGTGGTTTTTGAGTTCTGTTAGTCCCACAAACGAACATTATATTTTTATTTATATAGACTAGCTGTACCCGCCACGCGTTGCTGTGGCCAACCTTCCCTCCCTCTTTCTCTCCTTCCTTCCCTCTTTCCTTCCTTTCCGCTTTTTCTTTCCTTATTTCTCTTCTTTCTTTCATCTCTACCTGTTTCTTTCCTCCCTTTCTTTGCTCTTTGGTTACATCCTTCCTTCTCTCCTTCTTTCCTTCCTTACTTCCTTCCCTATCTTTCATTCCTTCTCTCCTTCCTTCCCTCCCTTTTTCCTTTCACTTTTTTATTTCCTGCTCTCCTTCCTTGCTTCTCTAACTTTCTTTCCTTCCTTCCTTCCTTCCTTCCTTCCTTCCTTCCTTCCTTCCTTCCTTCCTTCCTTCCTTCCCTCTTTCCCTCCTTCTCTCATTACTTCTTGACTGTCCCTTCCATTTAATATTGTATTTATATCTTACATAGAAAGAAGGAAAGGAAGAAGGAAGGAAGGAGGGACAGGAAGGAAGGAAAAAGGAAGGGAGGGAGGGAAAGAGGGAAAGAAGGGAAGGAAGGAAAAGAAAGATTGAGGGAGGGGAAAGAAGGGAAAGAAGGAAAGGAAGGAGAAGGAAGAAAAGTAAAGGAAGGGAGGAAGGAAGGATAAAGGAAGGGAGGGAGAGAGGGAAGGAGGAAAAGAAGGAAAGGAAGAAGGAAGGAGGGACAGGAAGGAAGAGAAGGAGGGAAAGGAAAGGAAGGAGAAGGAAGAAAAGTAAAGGAAGGGAGGAAGGAAGGAAAGGGAGCAAAGAAGGGAAGAGAGTGAGGGGAGAAGGAAGGTCCTTCACTCAAGCACCGTCGACCTTCCTCGCCTCCTCCTCCTCCCCTTCTTCCTTGCCTGGGGGCTCTGCTGCTGCCGCTGCCACTCATCTGCCCCTTCCTCTTCCAACAGGGAAAGGAGGAGGTAGGAGGAGACCGCCCTACCGACATAGCAGGGAAAGAGAAGGGGCTCCATGCGGCAAGCCTCCACCTCCACTCCACTCTCACTTGTGTGTGTGTGTGTGTATGGCTGTGCATGCGCGTCTGGCTTTAAAGGCTGGCTGTTTCCCCGCGAGGAGGAGGAGGGGGCGGGGATGTGGGTCTCTTTGTGGACATGCAGTTTAAAAGTCCTTTCTGCTTTTTGTTTTCGTTGTTTGTTTTTTTTAGTGAAGGACATACATTGCGTTGTTAGAGGTATCGTGTCCAAATGTGGTGTCAGTTGCCCCAGGGGTTTTTGAGTTCTGTTAATCCCACAAACGAACATTACATTTTTATTTATATAGACTAGCTGTATCCGCCACGCATTGCTGTGGCCAAACTTCTCTCCCTCTTTCCTTCCTTCCCTCTTTCCTTCCTTTCCTCTATTTCTTTCCCTTCCCATTTCTCTTCTTTCTTCCATCTCTACCTGTTTCTTTCCTCCCTTCTTTGCTCTTTGATTACATCCTTCCTTCCTTTCCTATCTTTCGTTTCTTCTCTCCTTCTTTCCCTCTCTTTTTCCTTTCACTTTTTTATTTCCTTCTCTCCTTCCTTGCTTCTCTATCTTTCTTTCTCTCCTTTCTTCTTTCCCTCCCTCCTTGTCTCCTTCCTTCCTTCCCCCTTTCCCTCCTTCATTCCTTCCCTCTTTCCCTCGTTACTTCTTGACTGTCCCTTCCATTTAATTTGTATTATATAGTAATATTACATATATACACACACACACACATATAAGTAACATATTATATAGTAATCTATATAACAATATATAAAATATTGTATTTATATCTTACATAGAAAGAAAAAAGGAAGGAGGGAAAGAAGGGAAGGAAAAGAAAGAAGGAGGGACAGGAAGGAAGGAAGGAGGAGGAAGGAGGGAAAGAAAGGGAGGCAAGGAAATGAAGGGGAAGGAAATGAAGAAAGGGAAAGAAGGAGGAAAGGAAGGGAGGGAGGGAGGAAAAGAAGGAAAGGAAGAAGGAAGGAGGGACAGGAAGGAAGTGAAGGAGGGAAAGAAGGAAAGGAAGGAGAAGGAAGGAGGGAGGGACAGGAAGGAAGGAGGAGGGGAGGAAAGGAAGGGGAAGGAAGGAAGAAAAGGAAAGAAAGGGAAGGAGGAAAGAAGGGAAGGGAGTCCTTTCGGGTGGAGTGTGGCAGAGGCAGCTACCTCCTGTGTGTGTGTGTGTTAAATGTGTGCTCGTGTTGCCAGAGGCAGCCAAGCAGGTCAGACAGAAAGGAAAGAGTTAAAAAAGAAAGAAGGGTCTACAGAAAGTCCGTCCCCCTCCCGCCGCCCTCTTCCAACAGGGACAGGAGGAGGAGGAGGAGACCACCTTCCTGGCAGAGCAGGGAAAGAGAAGGGGCTCCATGCGGCAAGCCTCCCCCTCCACTCCCATGGGGCCCACTCTCGCTTGTGTGTGTGGGAGGGGGGCATGCACGCGCGCCTGGCCCCTCAAGCTTTAATGGTCAGCTGTTTCCCCGCGAGGAGGAGGAGGGGGCGTGGCCATGGGTCTCTTTGTAGACATGCAGTTTCTCCTTTGTGGACATGTAGTTCAGAAGTGCTTTCTGCTTTTTGCTTTCATGGTTTTTTTGAGTGGGAAACATACATTGGGTTGTTAGGTGTACCCTGTCCAAATTTGGTGCCAATTCATCCAAGGGTTTTTGAGTTCTGTGAATACCACAAACGAACATTACATTTTTATTTATGTTGAGATTAACTTCACAATTCAGCAGCAGATCAGTTGCACAACTTCAGCGCTTTCCAGTAGCGTCTTCCTGCACAGTATTTTCAGTCAACTGCTTCCACAAACTGCAGTCATGCTGGAACCTTTTACAGACACTTGAGCACATGCCCGGCCATTGTCAGTTTTACCATTGTCTTTCCCCCAGTCTAGATGATATTACAAACTTACCACAGCACACAGTTATATCTTGTCTTAGCAGACAGGTTCTTTAATTACATAGAGCCTTCGACGAACAACATCACAACACAAGGAGAAATATACACTGTACATGACTTCCTTATATACAATTCATTTACACATAGCAATCACCGATTGGTTCCCAACTCACTGACTCAACTCAGACCCAGGATTGCATCATTCACAATCACCTGGACTAGGCCAGAACACATTCCCCAAATGATTCCCTATATACAGTTAATGCATGACTCAGCATTTCCAATACAAGCCCATTAGCAGTGCATGACTCAGCTATATTACATTACAATACATTGTAAAACCTGACAATTTATATAGAAAAAGCAGTACTTTTCTCCAAGCCCTTGTATGTTATCAGATATTCTGTACTATGGGAACCCAATGTATCGCTTAATGTCTCTTTTACATTTTTCCCTCCTCTTTCTGTAGGTAATTCTCATAGAATTCTTACCAAAATACCCGATATTTCGGCCCGACTGAGGAGCGCAGTATTATCTCACCTTCCGTGTTACCTGTCATTTCCTACCTGTAGTGCCTTGTAGGGGATGGGGAAGAGAAGATGGTCTCCTTTTTTTGCTGTGATTTCTTTTTAAACAGAAAGGAAAACAGAAGTGTTTTCGAGTTATCTTTCTTGCTCGTTTTTTTTTCCCTTTCTTGTTTGGAGAAGAAAATTTGCACATTTTTTTAAAAAAACGACGAGGTTTGTTTTTGCTCACTCTTGGAATTTATGTGTGTGTGTTTTTTTTTATGATTACGAGCGTCATATCGATGCGACTTGCTCTCTCAGCATGCTGCCTTATGAGTTTCCAAACCGGGTGGATATCTGTTTTTCCAAACGTCTCATCTGCGGCGACGACAACTTCCCACTCCTTTGGGCTGTCAAATGGTTTGATAATCCGCTTGCATTCAAATTGCCATGAACCACACTTGCAAAGTTGCTCATCTTAGGGTTGTTGTGAGTTTTTCAGGCTGCATGACTGTGTTTCAGAAGCATTCTCTCCTGACATTTCGCCTGCATCCATGGCAGGGCTCCCCAGAGGTTGTGAGGTTTGGATTGTAGGTTTTTTCGGGCTATATGGCCATGTTCTAGACGGCATTCTCTCCTGATGTTTCGCCTGCATCTATGGCAAGCATCCTCAGAGGTAGTGAGGATGCTTGCCATAGATGCAGGCGAAACGTCAGGAGAGAATGCCTCTAGAACATGGCCATATAGCCCGAAAAAACCTACAACAAACCATTGGTGTTTCAGAAGCATTCTCTCCTGACATTTCGCCTGCATCCATGGCAGGCCTCCCCAGAGGTTGTGAGGTTTGGATTGTAGGTTTTTTCGGGCTATATGGCCATGTTCTAGAGGCATTCTCTCCTGACGTTTCGCCTGCATCTATGGCAAGCATCCTCAGAGGTAGTGAGGATGCTTGCCACAGATGCAGGCGAAACGTCAGGAGAGAATGCCTCTAGAACATGGCCATATAGCCCGAAAAAACCTACAACAACCCAGTGATTCTGGCCATGAAAGCCTTCGACAATACGTTGTGAGGTCTGTTTGGAAACTATGAAAATGTGGTTTATATATCTGTGGAATGTCAAAATCAGGGGAATTCCAGACAAGAAACAATCAGGGCCAGCATTAGCTGGCCCTGATTGTTTCTTGTCTGGAATTCCCCTGATTTTGACATTTCACAGATATATAAACCACATTTTTATAGTTTCCAACAATGAAATATAAACACAGATATGTAAACCACATTTTTATAGTTTCCACCTCCCAACAAAGGATTCCCCTAGGCAGGAAGAAGCCAGACCTTGAAATTACTAGGTCATTAAATACTAATTGAAACATTCTCACTTGCCTTAAACACACAAGAGTTCTTTCTCCCACCCTGGATAGTCCACAGATATATAAATCCCACTTGTCCTTGTTTCCAATAAACCTAGCAGTTTCAAGGTCTGGCTTCTTCCTGCCTTGGGGAATCCTTTGTTGGGAGGTGATTGGCTGACCTTGATTGTTTCTTGTCTGGAATTCCCCTGATTTTGACATTCCACAGATATAGAAACCCCATTTTCCTAGTTTCCAAACAAACCTCACAACCTCTGAGGATGCCTGCCATAGATGTGGGTGAAACGTCAGGAGATAATGCTTCTGGAACATGCCCAAAAAAAACTCACAGCAACCTAGTGATTCTAACCACGAAAGCTTTTGACAATACATTGCTCATCTTAGGTTTGTGGGTTAGTTGCTTTGTGTAAATATTGCCTCATTGTATATTATAGTAAGTGTGATGTTACGCCAAGGTTTACAACCATGTAATGTAACTCCTTTTGTGTTTTGCCACTGTTCTGCGTTAAGTGTTATTACGGAGGATATCTGTCGGCATCCCTCTGGTTGTACAGAGCCATTCTTGTGCCATAACGATGAAGCCATAACGGGTTGCTCCAGACCACCGAATGCTGGGTTCAGGCACTCTTTGAATGCAAAAATACAGAAATGTGTTTGCAGAGGTGTGCTTCACAACACCTTGAATTAATATGGAATTGCAGTTTGCTCTCAGTGAAAAACCAAATGGCTTTTCAAATTTATTATTGTAATCTGGCATTGCAAAAAGTCAACACTATTATGCACGGAAGAAGAGGGGGGAAAAATCCAGGTTTGGCTATAATCTTTATATACCAGGTATATTACTTGTCAAACTCCTGAATTGATGTCATGTTTCAATTGCGAGAGCTCTGGCTAAATCTGTATTGGGTTGTTGTGAGTTTTCTGGGCTGCATGACCATGTCCCGGAAGCATTCTCTCCTGACGTTCTGCCTGCATCTATGGCAGGCACCCTCAGAGGTTGTGAGGTTTGTTGGAAAGTAGAAAAATTGGGAATATATATCTGTGGAAAACCCAATTTTCCTAGTTTTCAACAGATCTCACAACTTCTGAGAGTGCCTGCCATAGATACAGGAAAAACGTAAGGAGAGAATGCTTCTGGAACTTAATAATAATAATAATAATAATAATAATAATAATAATAATAATAATAATTTTACTTATACCCCGCCACCATCTCCCCAAGGGACTCGGTGTGGCTTACATGAGGCCAAGCCCATAGTACATCAGTAAACAAAGGCAATAACAAAAACAATCAATACAGAACAATTAATATAAATCACATAAGCAAAAAAATAAACAATAACAGTAACATTTAAAAATCTATGGCCGGGCCAAATGTAATAATTTAAAAATTTAAAAAAGAATGCTGGTCATGAACAAGGTAGGATATAACTGGGATACATACAGCCCTGAAAACTCACAACAACCCAGTGATTCCAGCCACGGAAGCCTTCGACAATCTGTATTGCATTTAGGGAATACAGCCAGATTAAAACCTGGGTGATGTTCTCTTATAATATTGTTTCAGTTGGATCTGTACTACCGTATAATGCAGTCTGGAACAGAATGATAGGGTCAATGTAGACTCACATAATATAACTGCATCGAAGTGCATTATGTGGGTCTCTAGTAACTGTTGCAACCCAGAGCAGGAAACAAGACCCTAAGACAACAATCCACCATACTTGACTGTGGGAAAAACAATCCTTTTTTTATTGATGAAAAATGGTTACAAAATAGAGGAAATGCTAAGTCAAAAAGCCACAGTAAAAATCAGCAATCAGAAAGGTCCATGAACTAGATCAAAAACGCAAAGCAACACTGTAAAATCCTGGAACCTGTTAGCAATCCACTAACCGTACTTGGAGCACTAGAAGCCTCTTGGGATGAAGGCCACGGGAAACGAGAGATCTGCCAAAGTAATGCCTCAGTCTAAAACGATGCCTGATCTAAAGAGTCAACCCGGCGAGAGGCACTTAAAGCCGAGGAATCTGTTTCGTGACATGCCTCCAGGCTTTGAAGCCCTTGTTTCCTTTTCCTTCAGTCTGGCTGACCTTCGCAAACTCTGTGATTCACCCCTGTTCTGCCAAATCTGTCCTCTTCTATCCTCATTAAGGATCCCAGGTGTTAGCTTCTCTGGAGAGCTAGAAGGGAGTGAAAGGTCACTGCTTGGCTCTGAAACATTCTCATGAGAATGTGTACTTTCACTTTCCAAGCCTCCAGGAGTTTCTTCTACACTGACCTCAGAATCAGCATTTTCATTAGCATCAGGAAATACATTTTCAGTAGCATCAGGAAATACAATCAGAGAATCAGGTTCAGTTTCACACCCAGGCTGAACTCCAACAGTAACCATATAATGTCATTCCAAACTGCATTACATGGAAATGTAGCTCCAGACTGAGTTGTGTTCCTTCCAAAAAGTATTGGCACCAAAAGCCTGAGTGAGATGCATCACTAACCACTTCATCACACTAGAAAATGAATCCACTTTAAATCCGGTTTTGCAGAATTCTGGGGTCTGTAGTTTAGTGAGGCTGTTAAAGGATCCTCCCTAAACTACAAACCCCAGAATTCTGCAACTGGATTTAAAGTGGATTCTTTCTCTAGTGTGATGAGGTCCTCAGGAAGGACCTCATCACATTCGAAAGAGTAGGCCGTTGTGTCGAACGGACAGTTGTAAAAGAAGAGGGAATTTGTGTCCTCAAGGCATGCCCTCTTCCTTGGAAATACTTTTTAAGTATTTTTAAGTAAGATTTGTTTTGTTGTAGACACTAGTAGTTCGCGCGCATACCGCAACGAGCGCATGCGTCGTGTACCGGCATGCCTCGGGAACAACTGTGCTCAGTTTCCGCTCTGTAGCTCACCTGTACGGTTCTGTTCTGTGCTTTAAACATGTTTAAGACTATCAACTCACCCTCTGCATGTGAGGTTTGCTCAGTGATACGGTTTTTGTCAGCAAGGAACCTGCCTGCTGCAGAAATCCATCGACAGATTTGTGAAGTGTACGGTGATACTGTTATGAATGAAAGCAAAGTGCGTAAGTGGGTACGACAATTCAAAGATGGCCGTGACAACGTCCATGATGAGGACCGCTCCGGTCGCCCTTCTTTGATTACAGACTATTTGATTTGATTGCACACTCAAATCTTTGGTTTTTGTGGTCCTCTGTTAGGAGTTTTGGGACCCAACGGGAGCACAGTTTCCTAAACTTTAGGTGTTCAAAAACAATGTTGTAAAGCACTGATCTCGACACGTCAGGAAATTCATTTGGGAGACCTGTTATTGTGAAGCGCCTGTTCTCACGAATCCTCGCTTCAACTGAAGCCACCAAATCGTCGTTAATCAAAGAAGGGCGACCGGAGTGGTCTTCATCATGGACGTTGTCACGGCCATCTTTGAATTGTCGTACCCACTTACGCACTTTGCTTTCACTCATAACAGTATCATCGCACACTTCACAAATCTGTCAATGAATTTCTGCAGCAGGCAGGTTCCTTGCTGACAAAAACCGTATCACTGTGCGAACCTCACATGCGGAGGGTGAGTTGACAGTCTTAAACATTCTTAAAGCACAGAATAGAACCGTACAGGTGAGCTACAGAGCGGAAACTGAGCACAGTTGTTCCCGAGGCATGCCGGTACACGACGCACGCGCTCGTTGTGGTATGCACGCGAACTACAAGACGGACCTTACTTAAAAAATACCCCTCGTACAAACCCCAGAATTCTGCAACTGGATTTAAAGTGGATTCATTCTCTAGTGTGATGAGGTCCTCAGGAAGGATCTCATCACATTCGAAAAAGTTTGGTGGCAGCAGGCCATTGTGTTGAATGGACCATTGTAAAAGAAGAGGGAATTTGTGTCCTCGGAAATATTAAAGGTCCAAGAGCCCTGTCGTAGCTAGAAAATGCCATTCTAGCCAGCGAAATGTCCTCTTGAACAGCACAGGAGCCCTGACCAATACGTTCTGTGGGATGGAGAATCGGATAGCAAGGTTAGGCCTTGCAAAGCCAAAATAAATGGGATGCAGCAATGTTTTGCTTTTTTTGAGAGTGGCGTCTTGCCAAAACTAGGGTTGTATGATGTGTTGCCTGATAGGCTGTGGTTCCTTCCTGGCTCCTTTGGAAAGACACCCCCCTCCCCTCCAAAATCCGCCTCTAAACTGGAGTGTCCTTTTGCATAATTTCTCAGAAGATCACACATGTTGCTGATGCTCCTTGGAATAA